TAGTAATATAAGGAACTGACAAATGACAACTAATTGGCTTTTACCTCATTACAGGAAGACAAAAATCACGTTCTTCATTGAATTTCAGCACCTGAAAGAAAGAAACATGTGCAGACACTTAATTTTGACTATTGTTTACTCTTCAACCTATTTGTACTAGTGACCTTGACAGCGAACTATATATGGATTCAATTTCAAACTGGTTTTGAACCCCATGTGGGTTTAATAATTGATATGGAGGGGTTGCTGATTAATTATTATTATATTAGCTGCACTGCCTCATCTTTTCATCATTTTTCCATACATTTTTATTGCTTAGGTGAAGAATAAATCTTCATTTAGAGGTTGGAATGGAAACAAGGTGATTGATTGAACATCCACAAGTACTGGGTTTGAAATGGTTATGCAATTTATAATGGCATTAAAGAAACTATAGTCGTTCAACTTGTCATATCAGTCATTGGCTTGTTCAGGGATTACAACGAAAAAAAGGTTTATTTTTCCTTAATATATGCTAGGTTGAGTACTCGACAACTGAGGATAAGAACAATTTACAACCAATATAACTTAATACATTCTAGTACAATTAAATACGAAAAAGAAAATCAATTTCACTTTGAACCTTGATCTAAATTTCATTTTTCACTTTCTTCTGTGCATTCAATAGCAATTCAGACCTACGTAAGAATTTCCAAAGAAAGAAACTTCGAAGGGAACTGTGGCTGTCACTTTTTTCAATCCATTTAATCAAGCAAACAAAGTTCACACGTGGACAAAGAATTTGCGAAGAAAGAAAGAAAGAAAGCAAGAGAAGAAAGAAATTTCTCTACATATATACAAAGAAAGAAAGGATGTAGTTTGATCATTTGATTATTGTATTTAGTGAAAGGACAAGTTTTAATTACATCTGTGTACAGCAATAGGTCAAAAATGAATTTGGGTGTTCGCATACAACATTTAGATTGTTTTTCTCCAACTAGTGGCTGAAGACGTTGAGAAGGGATACTCTTGTTTTAACGAGTTTCCTTGAAAGGTGTTCAACACCTACTTCTAGATCCTCAATGCATGTCTCCAAATTTTCCATATGGCTGTGAAAATTCTCAACAGACAAAGGCTTGTTATTAAGGATTGATTGCAAAGTTGTGTCCATCTTTACAAATTCATTTGTGTCTTCTTGAGAGTCACATTTATTCTATCAGGCTGCACAGCTTAGATATTATAGACCATCTTTTCTGCTTTGATTGACGCTTAGAGTCAGAGACAAACAGCAACAAGGACTCTAAGGACCTCATGGTGACTGCTTCTGCTTCTTTTAAGATTCCAAGAATAGACAAAGTCTCATTAACCATTAACTCGCTGTTATTTCCTTTCAAATTTCCTAAGGCCTTTCGAATCACCTTCTTCATCTTCTCTTCCTAGATGCCAAGTATTTTCCACCCTCAACTGTGAATTCAGTGTCCGCACCCTTTCTTCGAATAACTGGATAAACCATGTCAATGCTTTCCTTTGATTGCAAGAGGCAATCATGTGCTGTACTACAGATATCAAGGAGTGTCAGTGACCCTTCTAACAGAACATCAACATACTTTTCACTGCATTCTCGTGCAAAGGCTTGTCTGATACTGGGTAACTGGAACAACTTATCGGCATAGTCATGCAAATCCTGCAAGCCATTTAGTTTTTGGCTTATTGAAGATGATGACAGACGAGTGCTGGTGGCTTCGGAGTCTTTCATTCTCTGCAAGTGATCCTGGAATTGTGATAAAAGTGGGTGAGGTGAAGAGGGCAAACTGTTGCACCGAATGTGCAGAGACTTCTTTGTGTTTGTTTCCATTTACTCTTGTTAGAGAAGATAATAGAGGGATACAGAAGAAGGAGATGATATGCACAACTTGTTCTGAAGTCTGAGTCTTGGTGTTTTCCATCAGCTCCATATATAACAAATGAATTGGGGGAGACAAGTAGAATATTTGTGTTCCTAGATGTCACCAAAGGAGCTAGCAATTATATCATCTTGGTTTGAATCTAAGATCTATGATTATATAGTTTACTCTTTGTTTTTCCCTACTCACTAGACTTCTCAACTCATTCCTGAATATTTTTACTTGAGCATCACATGGTTGTTTGAAAATGGTATCTTTTGCAGGTTGCTGATAAAAAATTCTAAAATTCCGCAGTATGCATTGTAATGGAAGCTTTTGTCAGGAAGTGGAGAAAATGGTTATATTCTTAGACAGCATCGAGGCAACAAACCTGTCTGTTGAACTAAAGACAACACGAATTTTCAACTTCGGTTAAGAAACAAGGACTAAAAAGGTGTAGGGCAAACTTACTACAGATGATTCAGGCACCATACAGTATCTGATAAAAAGGAACTTGCTTGGGTGAGAAATACACAAAGCAGGTAAGTGTGCAACATCAACATTAGACATTATTTTTGTTTTCTAGATGGAGGTGATAAATTATTGGTCAAGTCTCTTGCACTGTTGCAGATCAGAAAACATATGACATATTTTGTTGAGTTGCTTCCCTCAGATTTATGGATCAGTTGCTGACTTTCCTTTGCATTTACATGATTGCAGTTTGAAGACATTGGTGAACAAAGGAGACAATTAGTAACAAAAAAGAAGCATCCAGTAGTTGTAGGCTTGGAGCCTAGCTGCATATGGAATTCAAGTATAAAAAAGTAAAAACCAATCAGTGTAAGTTACAGAATAATAAAAAAAATGATTGTTCAAGAGCAAGGTTCACCAAGCTCGATTAGGGCTGGAAGTGCAGCAGCCTGTTATCCCTCCACTGTCAAGAGCCGAAGGTTATCGCTGCTCTGTGAAACCAGCCTCACGCTGTGCCCTCCTGTCTAGAAACCAGGAAACCCATGCCTTCGCAAAGGTCCCATGGCTCAACTCCTGACTTGGAGTGGGCAAGCCAGCAAGATGCAGCTTCCAGACCAGCTTAGCAAGCCATAGCCTTGTTCAATCACCTTAAAGCCCCCACTCAGGTCACAAGCTGACGTTACCCAGCTCGGCGAACTGACATGATTGTCAGAAGATTTATAAAGACTAATTTTTCTAATATTCTGAACAATGTGGGACTTCCAGATGGCAATATGAAGTGATAAGAGTCTTGAGTTGGAAACTGAGGCTTGTTCCTTTCCGTCTATTTTCTCCATGGTATGATATCATACATCGTAATACGTTATAACCTTGTAACCCAAAAGGTTTCATTGAGTCATTTTAAGTTGATGAGAAAAACATAAAAGTGGCATTTTGAAGTGTTGATTCCACTTTGATTAATACCCTCATCAGAAAAAGTTCAATTTTGATTATATCTTTTAATTTACTTCTTTATGGATCTCCAATTCGGAACCACCGGGTCCAAAGAATGGAAAATTGTTTGTGATAAAGTTTAAAAAGAAAAATGCCCTCTTATTAAAATAGAAAAGTAAGCTAAATTTCTCTATTGAAATGTACTATGGAAGATGAGGCCTTTAGGAACACGTCATGGATAGGTTTTACTCTTCTTGAACATTTATTGTGTAAGCAAAAGCCATTCTCCCAAAATATAGATCTGAAAAACAAACACATAGAGACACTTTGTGAGTCATAGAGTAAATTTTAAGTGAGAAGGAAAAGTAGATTAATTTTTGTAGGGTGCAAAAGGAAAAGTCATGCAATCCTGTGTAAGCTGAGAGCTTGGCCCAATGATTTGCTACAGGAACCATTCACCTCAGGTGGCAACGATATGAAGCAGAATGAGAGTGCTTTCACTCAAATGTCTCCAAATGAGTGTGCAATTAATTATATATATAAGTTTCATTTGAATCACGGGGACAATTTTTTTGATAAAATAGCATCTTTTCAGGTTTCTGATGCAGATATCTACAACTGAATGAGGGTATTGGGAACTCCTCAAAATGATATATTATTTAATTATTTAAACTCGTATCCTATCTGTCTATCTCAAAAATGATGGTTATGTTTTGCTGTGTCCCCAATTTCATATATACTAATTAATGAACATTAATATACGTGCATATATGTAGCTAAGGATGCCTTGCCCAGCTACAATGAAATAGCAACCATCCATGTGCACTTTTTTGTTATTCATATCGTATTCATAGTGGTCTGATTCGTATGAATGTGGAATCAATAGAATTTACCATTCGAGTTTCTTATTCTCTGAGCACCAATTAATTACCAACTACTTTTCTTCTCACTTTCTGTATAAGAAAAACAGTTACCATATTTACAAAATTTAAATTTCTCCTGGTTGATAGATATAAAGCGATTCAACAATGGTCAATTATATTACAGATTATCCTAAAAGGGAATTGAGTAATTAAGGTACTACAGTAACATAAGGAGTCGTGAGGACGTAATTCACCCCACTAAAAGAAAAATAATGCAGATATAAACATAAGAAAAAAACAGTAATATTATACAAGAGCAACTATGATTTTAATTGAACGCATATGTTTTTTGACTCATGATCTAATTTCAAGAAAATTTGTATACTGGTTCCAGCCTTGCCTCCTTAGTTTGCAAGCATCTGTTAAGATCCTCCAACATATACTTTGGATCATGTACACTGAAATATTACCAAATAATTTCTTATTGTTTAGCACAATTTCAGTTCTGACGGTGACAATGTATTATCAATTGAACGCTTGAACTAAGTCTACCTCGTGATTAGAGAGTATATGCTTGGAGACGTGAAGATTTGAATTAGACCGTAACCTTCTTCTATTATAAAAGGAAGCATTAATGGTTAACCATATTAAACATGTTTTAGAGTAACTTCAACGATTGATGAGTCAAATTATTTAGACATTAATGCCTCAAACTTCTCAACACCCTAACTCTTTTGTCATACTTGTTTCCAAACGAGACGATATATATCCCTAATGAACTGGTATTGGTTGAAAATTACTTCATAACACGCCAAAAATGTAGATCAAGTTCTCAGATTTGATTGTAACAGTTAAAACTGAACTCTAGTAGTAAACCAACCCAATCTAAATCCATTACTAAATATCCGACATTTTCCAATTGGTTTTGCTTTCAAAAAGAATCTCCGGCACGTTAACAAATCAAGTCAACAAAACAAAACATGTAAAGAAAAGACAACAGCCAGAATATTTTAAAAGATCAAAACATGGAAGGAAACCAAAAATACAATCTCAGCCTGGATTCAACAACAATCGAGAACTGAGAAGCTAGTATGAGATGCATCTTAAACTTCAAAAGAACATACTTCACTATTTCTACTAGTACTCCATAACCTAGGAACAATCACACATTTAGGTGTTTGTTGCCCTGGTGTAAATTTGCTGACTGGCATGGGCAGACACCATCCTGATTGAACCTCTGGCCATCAGTTCTCTTATAGCCTTCCTTGCAAGTGATCCATTAATCTGTAAAGTGCAGGAAAACGATTATATATTATTCAATATACCAAGCTTATTATTAATTCATGACAGTCATTGAGCATATAAAATTATAGGTATAAGTGTGAATCACAAAAGGGAGACAGGTTTAACTTAAAAGTCAAAAGTAGAACATAGAAATGACATTATCTACTGGAATGGTTAGACTGACGAAATTTGGAGAAAAAGTATGAAGTTGATAATCAATTATTGAACAATAAACAGTTCAAAATATCATAACGCAAAAACCCGTGGATATAAGTCATGGATGTGAGAGAATATCGCATCTTCATTTTCTCCAAAGCAATTTAGTCAGATATCAAATGCATTTTACAAGTTCTTTCATGATGCTTGACAAAAAACAACTATTAATACATAAAAAAGAAAAAAAGTGCTTTGTCTTGGGTAACGAATAAGCATAACACCAAACAAATAACACTCAGTATCAATCAGATGAAACAATGAGGATAGCCCACATTGATTTATAGCACAGTACACGTATCAAAGCAACACTAAAAGATACGACCTCTCCTAACGTATCTACAAAACAACACAACTAACAAAATTACATTAACAAGAGAAGAAAAACATACCCTCATACGATCAGAGAGAATTGAAGGAGTGATGAGCTTGTATTTGGGTGCTTCTGAGAGGAGTTTGTCATAGGTACCCTGATCAAATAGCACCATGTTATTCACCTTCTCCTTTTGCTTTCCCTTGCTCCACTTCTGTTGAACACAAGTTCCGCCAAAACATCACATCATATATACCTTGTATTGCATTAATTACACACAAAAAAAAAGAGTTCTGGAAGATGATGAAATAAAGGTAATGGCGCTGACCCAGGAATACCAAATGGACCAAAACATAATTATATTAAGAAAGAATGGAACTTTGACGAGAAACGAACCTTCTTCTTCTGCTTGCCACCGCCAGATTTGGCGGGCTTGGAGGAAGGTGGAGGAGCCTTATCCTTCTTTGGTGCCTGCAAGAAATAACCGACAAAGTCAATCACAATTCACGTGGATTTGGAAAAGAAGTAAGAACATTTTCAAAGAGATTTTGCAGAGAGAAAACAAACGCACCATGATATTTGTGGCAACGAGGTAACAGAGAAACCCTTTCTTTCCTAGAGGCGGAAGCACAGACCACTGAAAACCCTAGGTTTATAAGAGACGCATGATGTCTAATTTAACCAGGACTTGCGGCCCAACAGGCCCAACTGTAAACCCGAGTTTCTCTCTGAACCCAATTTCTCTCTGCACCCAACAAATCTAATACAATTCTAAAATTGCCCCTTCTGACCAAATTAAACAAGGGAGGTTAAAAAAAATATTACTACTGGCAACTCTCAATGCTATGTGGTCACGGATCAAGTATGAATCATTGAAAATGCACTAAAATATATTTTTAAAATGATTTTTAACTAATTTCAAAAACAACAGATTTTAAAACTAGTATCAAAACGATTTTCGAAACAAAAACGGTTTTCGATATAAATCTGTTTTGGTGCATATAGTTATTTATTTATTATTGTTCGTATTTTATTTATTTTATATTAAAAAAAATTAATATGTTTTTTATAAATTATTTTTTAATTTAATAATTATATAAACTATTTTTTATTCATTTGTTTAATATGTTAGAATGATTTTTTTTAATATTTTAATATGTCTAGTATGTTTATTATAGATTTTTTTTTAATTTAATAATTATATAAATTATTTTTATATTTTATTTGTTTAATACGTTATAATTTCTTTGTTTAATATGTTTAACATTTTTAATACTTTTATTATAGATTAGTTTTTAATTTAATAATTATATAATATAAATTATTTATTATTCTTTGTATTTTATCGGTTTAATATGTTAGAATGATTTTTGGTTTAATATGTCCAATATGCGTACTCCTATAACTAGATATATCTCCAATTCAATTCCTGTTTTTTTCTGACAAAAATGAAATTATTAAATAAATCATAATTAAAAAATTAAACAAAACAATAAATAAATAAAATTATTATAAAACTAAATAAATTAATTAAACATTATTACAAAATTGAACATATATAAAATATTAATATATTAATTAAACAAATATTAAATTATTTAAATATTAAACCTGTCTTAAAATTATAGCTTGTTGGAGGTAACTAAGAATTTTTTCAGCGCACAGGCACTTTATAATAGACACACCTAGCCACTTTATAATAGACACATTATGTCATTTAACCAGTACTTGCGCCCCACCCAATTTCTCCATTCTAAAATTGCCCTAACCAAACCAAATTAAACGTTAAAAAGAAATTACTACTCTTAACTGCATTTAAGTCTTAATACCCTATTTCTCAAATATATATATATATATATATATATATATATATATATATATATGTGGTTTGCTAACGCGCGTACGCCTGTTGTTTTTCAGTTGGTACATTTTAGCAATGTGTACCGGGTTTTAGTAGACAAAAATATCCTTATATATGATGGATTCTAAGTTTTAAGGTTAAGGGTATTTTAATAATTTTCATTCTCAAAATAAAAAAAAAAAAAAGAAACCCCCCAAACCCTTGCTCACCTCTCTCATTCCTCTCAATCCTTTATCTTTCTTCTTTCTCACTCCAATATTTTCTTTGTCATCCCTACTGTAGCCCCAATTGAAAAAAATCAAAAACACATGCCTTTAAAAAATTTTCCTTTGTAAAGAGTTGAGTCATTGACATATTCACCTTCAAGGCAAAGTTTCATTCAAGATCTCTTCAATTTCACCATCTTCACTAATTTCTCTAATTTCATCATCTGCATATGTTGAATCATCATCTCTAAAAAAACCCTCCCGGCCAATTACCAATTCCTTCGGATGTCATTATGCTTGTGAAAATTAGATAAAATTATATACTACAAAAATTATAAAATGAAAACTCATTATAAAGTCATTTTTTGTAAGAAATTGTTTAACAACGAGTGTTTCTGATTTTTTCCAGGCCAATTACCAATTCTTCTGATGTCATTATGCTGGTGAAAATTAGAAAAAATTAGATAAGACAAAAATTATAAAATAAAAACTCATTATAAAATCATTTTTTGTAAGAAATTGTTTAACAATAAATATTTCTGATATTAGATGAGACAAAAATTATAAGATCAAAACTCATTATAAAATCATTTTTTTGTAAGATTGTTTGACGGCAAGTGTTTCTGATTTTTTCAATTGGGACTACAATAGGGTGTTTCTGATTTTTTCAATTGGGGCTACACTAGGATGTTTTTTTTCAATTGGGACTACAGTAGAGATGATAGAGAAAAGATTGGAGTGAGAAAGATGAAAGAGAAAGGGTTGAGAGGAATGAGAGAGGTGAGTAAGGGTTTGGGGGGTTTCTTTTTTTTTTTTTAAGTTTTGAGAATGAAAATTATTAAAATACCCTTAACCTTAAAACTTAAAATCCATAATATATAAAGATATTTTTGTCTACTAAAATCCAGTACACATTGCTAAAATGTACCAACTGAAAAACAGGCGTACGCGCGTTAGCAAACCCCTATATATATATATATATATTTCATGATTTCATTCTCTTATTTTCTTATCTTATTTATCTCCTGGTGAAGTAGTTATGTGTTGAAAATTTTCAACCTTTTTATCATTAGAAAAAAAAATAATGATATTTTAATAATATTTTTTTATAATATTTTAACATCATCTATGTGTCATTCTGTGATTGATCCAAAATTAATCTACAATCAATAATAATAATCATAAATATCAACATGGACCAATCACAGGATCACACGTAAATAATGTTAAAATATTGTCAAAGTATCATTATCTTAGTAAAAGTTGTGAAGTGATTTCAAGTGCCAATTTCATCTTAAAGGCTAATTGGATGTGTTTTTCTCTCTTTGTCACACCCACCAACTCCTCTGTTCCAAATTTCATGAATCATATAATTGGTATGGAAATTTTAGCTCATTGTATTATTAGATTTAGATAATCTAAAGAGGAATAATTAAGTTCGTGGTTATCAGAAAACATTAGGATATGATTAGATGACAATAAAAAAAAATGATTTCAATTAAACTAATAGGATTCTTTACTTCAAAGCTTGTTATCTATTTTTCAAGTGTGGCTAATGGTAATGGTGAGATTTTCTCTTGGTTAAATATATTTTTAATTTTTAAAATTTTATGCAAAATTAAATTTAAAAAAAAATAATATAATTTAATCTTTAAACTTAAAAATAAATAGATATAATTTTCTCAACTCATTTATATTAAATTCATTTACTGTAAAATAAATTAAATTTTAAATTAATATCGACGATGTTTACATGAGATGTTCTAACTTAAATATTAACCTGTAACATCATTTAACCTCTAAAAAAATTATTAGATAAAAAAAAATTATATGTATTTATTTTTGAAATTTGAAAACTAAAATATATTAAAATTTAGAATAAAAATAAATTTTAATTTTATGTCCAAATTTACGTATTTAATATTTTTTTTTCTTTTACAGGGCTTTTGGGTGAAAGCCTATTATTATAATAACATTCGTTTGTAAATTTTTGTAACATCAAATATTATTCAGAAACTCTTATTACAACTCTAATTAGACAACATAATTATTCTTAAATATATTTAATTAAAAATTGTTAGAAATTGAAATATTTGAAAGTTTGGTATATATTGAAAATGAAAAAGTTGATAACATACCATAAACATTAAATTTCAAGGTTTAGTAGTGTCATAGGTTAAGTAGTGTCATGATATTTTATATAGATAATTCATACCTCAAAAGTGATAAGCATTTCCAATCTATCTCAAAAAGAAAATCCAACTAAAATTTCTAATTTATGATTATTTTTCAATAGCTTTTTGTTTTTGTTCACCTTCATATATAAGTACTCCCTTTCTTATATAAAAACTTATTTTTCATTGAGCGAAATTAATTATCCTAAAGTTACCTTTTAACACACACACGTGTGTATATATATATAATGAATTATTGAAATGGTATAACTTTTTGCTGCTGTGTGAAAATGCAGCCTAAAAGCAACTTTCTGTCCAAAACTTTCTGACAGAAAAATGACCAAAACATTCACGAAACTGATAGTAACACCATACTAATCCAATAAAAGAAAAATCATTGTAAAAATTCATAACAGTCAAACAGTAATGAATTGCAGTAGAGAGAAACACAGAACATAAGGCCTCCTACTTTCCCATAATTTACACTGGAAACTAATATATGGGAAAGTGAAAAATGGCAAAGAAAAATTGTTCGCAAAAAGATAAGTCTTTTTTGAATTGTTTAATAAGTGTCATAAGTTCACCTAACATCCAACTTAGAGGATGTCACCACAACAATTCGAGAATTTTCAGTACATTAACTACAAGATAGCAAAAAAAATATTAAAAACAAAAATACATATATTGTATTCATTAAATTGTGTTTGCAAGCAGAATTACCATTCTACTTTTCTTGTATAAAATTAAACCTGAAAACACGATTTCCGTTTTCTTATATTATTTAAATATTGCCAATTGTCACCCCTTCTGACAATAGAGAATGTCCTTTAATAACTCCGATTCAGAAAACCAAATAGATAGGAACTACAACATTTTTGTTCGCCTCAACTGTGTTTTATGATGCAAAACGTAGAAACGAATCACATTATCTATTTAATCAAGTTTAAAGATCATCAATTGGTAACACCTACGACTAAGAAAAATAAAAACTGCAAACTTTTAATAAAACCTAAACAATTACATCAATTGATCTGTTTTTACGATCCAGTTGGAAAATGCGTACCACAAGAACCTCTTATCATTCTATGATTATGCCTCCCAAATATACAGAGATCACCATTTATTTTGGTTCAGGTCAAATGAATACCAACGGCCAAAGATTCACCAATCAGAGATTGAAGTTGTCCACGATAATTTCTCAGTTGAGAGCCATAGGAAGATTGTTCTTGCAAACCTGCTGTGTCATGGCTAACTTCTGATTGTTCACTATCTTCAAAAGCTTCTCGTGCTTTCATTTCTTCACTAAACAATCCAAGGGCATCTGGTGTTGACAAAGAATGCACAGATTTATACAGCCCTTGGAATTCGTTCCTCTTTTCTTGTGTTGGAATCAACCTCTCCTTTAATTGAAGTGGAAGATGAGAAAAAGCACTTCACAAGAAGCAAGTCGTCAAAAAGAGTTTTCTTAAAATACAATGAGTGAAACCGTCACGGTGCAAAAAATAAAATAAACTGCATATATTCCCACTAAGAATACCTGGTAACACCTCTTACGACACCCCAACTGTAACCATCAATAACCGATTGCTTAAAACCAAAATTGAACCCCTCTTGAGCAGAAGCTTCCTTCCCAGCTATAAGACCATCTCGATATCCAATCTAAAATATTATGGAGAATTGAAAATGCGCAGTTAGTTAATCACAATATAGAAGTATAGAATTAGAAACAAAACCAAGGAAAACTAATTCAACCATGCTAAAACAAACACCGTATGGAATTGGTCGTGCCTCCTCTGCCACTCCCTGTCCAAATCCAACGAACTATCCAACTTGTCATCAGAATCATCCCAGAAACTCAAATCATCACCACCACCACGATCTAAAACCGTAATGGAAAATTAAAAGCCTTAACTAAAGCAAGAGACTGAAAAACAATAACGATAGATTCATTCATTCCAAATCAATTCACTCGCACCACATCTTACCGTTTAACTTATCTTTTTCATCAACAGCAATGGTCGACATGAGTTCTAATTTGGACAGATCTAAACTTTCAGCATAAAGCTCTTCAGCAAACCTACCCTCCATCTGCAGTGCAAACTAACTCTACAAGAGAACTTACATTCATAAAACAGAGAAAAAACTAAATGAAAAATAAGAATAAAAACTCATCAATGGATCAACCGTTGTGAAATGAAGGTCAAAGAGAATCGGCGAATAATGAGAAGATATTTTTTTCGATTAGGACTATTCAAAAAGGCCCAGTTGGTGTTTGGTCTAATAAAGCCCAATGAATGTTTTTGGGCTTTTGGGTGAAAGATAGTGGAGGGTTCTCCCTGCACCTCCAACTCCCCAAAATATTCCTCAGTAAATAAGGTTGGTAAGCAATGATTAATGTTTATCGAATTTCGACTTACTAACCACTTTTCATTCACTGCTCTTCACTTCTTCGTTCTTATATCCTCCTCTACACCCCCAATTCCTTCGCTCACTCGATGTTCACTGTCATTCTCTTCTCTTTGTAGTCCTTCTGATGCATTCATGTTTTCCGATGTTTGTTGGTGTGGACTCCTATTATCTTTTAAATCTTTTGAATATCCCAACATTGTTCTCTAGAGTGCAATATGGGAATACATGACCGTGTGGATACAGTGGTTCATTATGAGGAACCTGTTGAGCGCGTTGACATGTTCTTTGTTTAGGAGCCACATTCCCTTGAATAATGTTCCAAGTGGATGTTTCATCGACTCATGGTCAAATGCATGACCGAACTTAGTATTTTGTTCATGATGAAGTGGAGTATATGTTTGAAATTGTTTCAAAGGGATGTGAAAATGCAAAAAATGGTGTTGGGGTCGTGTTGTTGTATGAGGAGGACGTCTAAATTGTTGTCATCCTCATCTCATATGCATGTTCTGCGAGGATGTCATTCTCATCATCACTAAAAGATTTTAAAGATGTTGAAAGAATTCCTACAGTCATTTTCAGGCAATCAAGAAAGTAATGATGTGTTTGCATGGACGAGGGAAAAACATTTTATCCGAATGGACTAGTTAGAAACTGGGTGCAAGATTGTACATTAGTTTCTCAAAGCCCTAAATATGTGTTGTTTAAATCAAAGGTTTGTGGTGTGGATTATGTGTGAGTGTGATGGTGTTAGAAAGGAAAAATGTGTTCTCCGTGAGAGATTATGAAAATTGAGTAGGATAAATGGGAGGGATACATCTATAGTAGCTTGTGCATAACTCAGTGTCGGCCAACGTTGGGTTTTGCATTTTAATGTCGATGAGCCCTTTTAAATATTAATCGTCTTGAAGCCTATTTGCAATGTAGTATGCATCTCCGACATAAATTTGAATGGAGTATCTGTATATGATCGTGGACGCTTGTTCAAATGCCGGTCAACAAGATTTTTGTAGAAGCTTTTTTTGAATTGCTGAAGCATAATTAATCATCATGACATTCTCATTGGGGAAGAAACTGGTGTTTGATGACAATTAACAATCCAACCATCATTGAAGATGATTGCATCAATAGAATAATCCATTTTACATTAAAAAACAAGAAAAAAGTATGAAATTGTACAATGTAAGAGAGAAGGCAGTGAGTATGAAGTTACGAGGAATTGGTGTAAGTTATGGTAAGGAAGGTTTTATATAGTCATGAGAATGACACAATAGTGGGTAATTATGTGAGTAGAATGAGAACTTAAGTAACCATGTGAATGACACAAATGTAGGTAGTCATGTGAGTAATACGAGAGTTCAGATAGTCATGTGAGTGTGACAAAAGTTTAGGTAGTCATATATGAGTAGCACAAAAGGTTAGGTAGTCATACAATTTACATGGGTGACAGACTAAGTTGGCATGTCAGTCACATGTATGCCTAATATATTGTATCACTCACACGAACGCTTAAACCATCATGCACCAATTCACATGGGCGGTCGAAGTCTACGTGTGACACATGATAACATAACTTTTTGGTTCAGCCACATGACTACCCAACCTCATCGTGTCATTCACATTACTACCTAAGCCCTCATATCACTCACATAACTACTTAAAGTCTTGTGTCTCCTACATGACTACATAAACTCTCATGTCACTCGCATAACCATATAACATTTACCTTTCCATAACTTGTCACTCCAATTTCTCCTAATTTCATAGTTCTGCTTTCTCCTTAACTCTGTAAAGTTTTACAATTTTTCTTGCTTTTTCATTTTAAAATGAATTTTTCCAAATGAACAATCATGTATTATGATGATGAGATCGTTAGTTGTTCTCAAGCTGCTGTGACAATATCGTGATGACACATATTTACAAACATCCCACTTCTAACTGTCCATCCACATTAAATTTTTTCCCTCAACCATGAAAACGCATCACCATTACCTTTTTATTTACTTTGAAATGAATATGTAGAAATTTCTTCACCATCTTCAGAGTCTTTTAATAATGATGAGGATCAAAACAACTTAAATGTTCCCTCATACAACAACAACAACTCCAACATCATTTACCACATTCATACATCTCTCACCAATACTTTCAAACCTATACCACACTTCCTCATAAACAAAATATTGAGTTCAATCATGCATTTGATTAAAAGTTTAGTGTGTTCATGGTCGTTTCAATTGGAAGTATAAGCGATCTTGCACAACAGTAAACAATGTTAGGAGATTCAAAAGATAGAAGGAATCCACACTTGGCCTACATCTTTGATTTCATAAGATCACAGTAAATTGGGGTCATGCATAATTTCAAAACATATAATATCAAAGTTCAACGATCTGAAGACCAAATTCTAACCAGAAATAAATGTGTTTTCCTAATTAGCGTCCAAATAAATAAATAATAGCCTAAAAATAAAAATTCAAAAACATAAAATAATTTAACATTGCTTTTATACATAAAAGTTAGGATGGGTTAAGTCTTACAAGTATGATGATAAAAAAAATCACATTATCTATTATGGATAAGAAAAATTAACTTTGAATTCGTATACGAGTACCATACAATATATTTATTAATTCTTAATAATACAACGAGTACCATTTTTATAGTATCCATGTCTATGATACACATTATTTAATGTGAGGAATTTTTGTTTAAATATTATATTAGATTAAAATAAATTTAATGGCAAGAAAAACATTAATAAATATATTGAAACTCCATAGATTTATATTTTTCTATGAAGATTTATGAAAAAATATTTTTAAAAATATATTTTCTTACGTAACTAATGAAGGCTCATGGACATATATGTAACATAAGTATTTATATAATGAAAAACGTGTAGTTTCCAGTAATGATTAATTTATTAATTTTCCTCTACTTCATTGTGTATTATTGATTTCCAGGTCTATTTGTAATTACTTATATGAGTTCCAAAGCATAAAGCTAAATTATATTCATGTAATTGAAATAGTTTAACAAAACAAATATAATTTGTAAATCTGAACATTTAGAATCATAAATAACCAAAGTTAAGGAATCAAATAAAAAAACTAACCTATAAAATTATAAGCACATAACAAAATCTATAAAATTCGGAAAGTTTAATTGCATAGTGAGAAAATAATATATATATATATATATATATATATATTATATATATATATATATATATATAGATATATATATATATATATATATAAAGCATAATAAATCAGCTAGGTTGAAGATGCCAAATCAAAACGGCTAGAAATAAGAATAAATTCTAATAGATAGATAATGTACAATTCTCATATTACAATTATATATAAGAAAGAGTTAGGTTTACATTTAACTCTCTTAATTATCAGAGCAATTAAGAGCCTAATAGGGTGTTAGAGCCATTAATATGTCATGGGTAATGAATAATTATGATACGAAAAAATAACACTCGATCAGATGAAACATGCAGAAAGCCCACATTAACTAATAATAATGAATGCGCATCAAAGCAACACCAACAGATACGATCTCTCTGAGAAATTAACGTATCTACAAAACAATTACCCAAATCAAATTAACAGAACAAGAGAAGAAAACCATACCCTCAGACGCTCGGAAAAAACGGAAGGTTGCTTGGCACTGCCAAATTTGGTGGGCTCGGAGGAAGGTGGAGGAGCCTTATCCTTCTTCGGAGTCTGCAACCGATAACCAATAAATTCAATAACAATTCACATGGATTGGGAAACGAAAGGGATATTGATTTCAGAGATTTTGCAGAGAAGAAAAATAAATCACACCAGGATTTTAGCAGCAACTTGATAGAGGTAAGAAAAAGGTTTTCACTGTTTCTTTCCGCCAGAGACGAAAGAAAAAGCCACCGAAAACCCTAGGTATTTAAGAGACATGATTTCTTATTTATCCCGAGCTTGCAGCCCAACAGGCCCACTTTAAACCTAATATTTTGCTTTTGGTACCTACATTCAGTATGTGACTGGTCACACCAGAAGTCTTAACTTAAGAATTAGTTATCATATCTTACTGGTTTGATGAATTGAGTTGAATTAAATTTTGGAGTTATTAAAGTGAAATACAAAAGATTTGAAAAATATTTTGGAGACTTTAATTAATAACTTATCACGTTCCATGGTATGTATGTGTTAAAAATGGAAATCAAGTCCAATTTAAATTTTTCTTATATTTTTTTTATATTTTTTTTAAAAATTTACCTTCTAAAACTAATAATACTTTAAACATATAATAATTGAATTTTATATAATATCATCGTCCTATTAGTAAAATATCATACAATTCTGTCATCTTAAAATTTAGAATTGATTTGATTAGTCAACTAATCAGGTTAAAATAAAAATTAATGTTAAAGATAATTACGTTAAAATTAAGTAAGATTATTATTAATTAGATTATAATTAGGTGGATGTTAACTCAAAACCTATTTTAAAATATATAAATAAAGTTTGAAGTATTATGATAAATTAGTTATATTTATTATTACTAACTTTGATATTGATATATTTTTTATAAGTAACTTATCAGTTTGATTGAACGATGAGAAGTGTAAAATGAAAATAAAATTAATTAGGAATTGAAATAGTTTATCAAAGAAAAAAATTGACTTCGATTCCATATATCGAAATCGAAAGAAACCTAATTATATGACTCAGTAAACATAAATTGGAAGATTTACTGCGTAACAACCTTTGATGTCTTGTTTTATATTGAGAGGCATTATGCTTGATCCTCTGTGAGATACTTGAGAGAAGTGATGGTTGAAGGGAACACCCATGTGTATAGTGCTACCCAAGGTTTCACGGATTCCGTGGGAAGGACCTGATTTCAATAATGCAGAATCTGGAACCATATCCACAACATAACTCAAAAATATCATAACAGAACTAGTTATTCAATTTCAAACATTCGTGTCACATCAATTTTTCTCCAAATTTTAAACCCATTCAGCTATTTATTAGAAGAAACTCCTCTAAAATATCTATTTAAATTATTTACTTTTTTATGTGATATTTCAACTAGAATGAATATTAATTTTAATATACATTTTTTTTCATTTATTTTTTTATTTTAATTACTGTATTATTATTGGCAATTTCATTTTAATCACATGTCTACATAAAAGTTATCATTAATTAATTGTTAAAATTAGAATTCAACATTAAAAACAATATTTTAAAATTTGATATAAAATGTGAATTGCATATATATTTAAGCATTTTAATATTAATGGATAAGGGATATAAATACCCGTTGGGTAACAATCACTTAAATAGAATATCTTCACTTATCTGCCTAAATTTGCAATTAATTAACAAAAGATGAGTTTTGTGGAATTGTTTAATATGGTGAATTAATATGATATATCCAATTTTTTAGTCTTTAAAAAATGTGCCTATTTTAGTAATTTTCAAAAATTGCACTAGATTCCAAAAAAATACCAAAAGGGGTAACACATGTAGAAGCCGTGTTTGCTTCGCATCAAAATCTTCTTCTTCTGTCTTTTCATAGAGTAGTCCCTGTTTGGAAAATACCTGAAACAATGGATTAAACAAACATCATAAATCAATTTCATACTATGTTTCATTTAAAACAGCAAATATTAAGTTTATGATTTTTGTACTCATTTTTTTATTTTTTATTTTATTTAATCTAAACTTTATATTTGTATTGTTGTCCAATAAAAATCTCGCATAATTAAAATAGACTTAAATATAATACAATTCGCTATAAATATAACTCTATAATATTGTTTTAGATCCTACAGTTTTTTGTTTGTTAATTTTAGACATATGTTGTTTCTTCTATAATCACTTTTAATCTGTATAGATAAATGTAGTCAAATTTATGTTGACATGACATGATTGACAGTAAACAGAAATAAAATATTGCAGTCTTTTGGTTTTATCTCTAAGTCATAAATAAATGATTTGTATGGAGTTAAATAAAACTGTTTATAATATTCCATAATTAAAAATTATACTGTGTTTTTTTTCACTTTTTTTTTCAAGTTTAAAATGAATTCTATAGCACTTTATTTAAATATTGCCAATTGTCACCCCTCATGACAATGGAACTGAAAGCTATTAATATCAACCTCAAGTTATTCCTCTCAGTCCAAAGACATTTCAGAAAGAAGAATATTCCAAGTTCCACAAATAATTCAGAGTATAATGCATACAAAGAGAATAGATGACGATGCTTTTCTTGTGTAAATAATTTTTTACTCAACTTATGTTAATTTTTAAGAAATTGATTTTAGTCTTAATTTAAAATTATAAATTAGAATTTAAAATAGATTTGCACATAATTATATATTTATATCTCATGGTAATTTCTAAGAACAATGACTCACAATTTAAATTCTGAAAACAAATCTAAAACTACATTCCTACATATTTAAGTTCTGTTCAATTTGTTCGGATTATTCATCACTATTAACCAAAAACTATATAATACGATTTCATCTTTAATTCACCAGTAAAACCACAACATGTCACTGCTATTTAAAATTTTGGATAAAAAGTTGAGCTATTTAAAATAATTCTATCCAAGATATGAAGATTTAAAAAAATTATCTTTTATATTACGAAAATAGATAAATTTAAAACAATTATGAAAAAAAAAACAAATAGTGTAGGTTTCACTAACTTTATATGAAAAAAAATAATGTATTTCATGATCGATAATCATATTCTAATCAGACTCTAATATCATATTTAAAAGTGAATTTAAGTCTAACTTAATCATATAAAACTGACTTATAAGATGAAATTTGCATCCATTTATATATTATAATTTGGTCTTATCTTTAATCATCGATATGAGAAAATATAATGTGTAGTACACTACTTTAAAATAAAATTGTACGAGGTAATTGACTTAAAAAATAAAGTCATACACAGTAGACAACTTCAATCTAATAATTTTTGTAATCAATTATAATTCGTCGAAGTTGTTTAAAGAATGTACAATTTTTTTATATAAAGCCATGCAAAATCTACGCAAGTTCTCCATTTTCTTAATTTTTTTAAAATCTATCATTTCTCATAATATAAAGGAAAGATTTACCTATTTTCATTAAAAAAAATAACATATGAATCATAAATTTTACATGAGGTGGAGAAAAGAAAAAGGTAAAGATAATTTGATACATACACAGGAAGGGATAAAAAAAGTAGATAATGGAATATTGAGATATTTTTATTTTATTATTTTCTCAAAAGTTTGGATTCTGCTCTATAAAGAAGGAATAGCACAACTTCATAGCTTCATAGCACCAAACAGAAGCACTCCGCACTCTGTTCTCTCTGTTCACATTTTACAGTTCACATTACATTCACTTTGCTTTTGTTTCTGTATCCATGCTTCCAATTGCAGAAGCTTCTCCACTGTTCTCTGCAACATCATTTCTTACATATTCTATTGCCGTAGACAAATTTCTATTCCCCTTTCAGTGAAACACATAACACGAGTTGTTGTTGTTTGTTTCTGCATCAACCCTTCAAGCAATGGACTCCTTCAGTTTCAATAACCTCCAAACAGAGAAAGCCAACGCCATCCTCAAAAACCGCAAGCTTCGAAGGGTCGCAAGCTTGTTACGCATCATCGAAGTGTGTGCGGTTTTGGTCTTGGTTTCAAGGTTCTCCATGCAGCTTCCGGTTGCAGTGAGAAACTCCGGCGAGTATTTCAGAGACTTGTCACTCTTCATGAACAGTCCTCGCTTTGTCTTCCTCGTCGGAAACATCATAATCATCGCACTATTCGCTCAGTTCTCCGCTCGGGGTAACAACGTTGTTCCAGAGCCCAATCTGTACCAAGAGTTTATTCAAAACACAACGAAAAACCAAGAAGCTGTGGCGGAGTACAGCGGAAAGAAACAGAGGATGAAAACAGGGGAAGCAAATATCGGTTTGGAAAAAGGTTATAGAAGGTGCGAGACGGAGATTTTGAGGCAGAAACGACGTCGTGTGTTGCGTAGATGTGAGACTGAGAAGGAAAGGAAGAAGATTGAAGGTGTTCCTGTTGAAGAAGTGGCGCGAATTTCTTGCCCTGAAGATGGAATGACCAACGAGGAGTTTCGTCGCACTGTAGAGGCTTTCATCGCCAGGGAACAGAGGATTAGAAGAGAAGAAGATTATTATTTAATGTAAAAAAAAATTATATATGTAAATTTTAAAAAGTGTGTAAATAAAGTAATAAATAATAACTTTTATAAGTTATGTGAATTTGAATAAATTATGTAGAAACAGATATTCATTTTACAAGAATATTAATCATTATTTGTGAGATAAAGTGAAGAAAAGTGTAAAATGGTTTTAGTAATTGTTGTAATGCATGGCTTAAAAAGATATTCATGAATACGTTGATTTTGTTTATATTTGTTTTCTTCATATCATATTAATAAGTTTATTGTTTTTAATTTATCTCTGAAAAATGCATTAAGTATTGATAAAAAATTTTAATGTTAATGAATTATTATTTTTAATGACATATTAAGAAAAATAAGAAAAAGTGAGAAGAATTGATGTGAATGAGGTATTCTGATTCGTGAGATGTGAGAATAATGTGGAGATGAGGGAACTTCCCCGGAGAGACAAGACATGATGATAACAGATGCTATTCTCAGGTTTGGTTTCGACTCTTAATATGTATTTAAGATTTTCAGAATATATTTGTGTCTGTAAATTTTGTGCAGTATATGTGTTTACAGGATTGTGTTACAGAAGGAAAGAAGTTCTATTGGCTGGTTTGTAATGAAAAATGAAACTAGATTTTACAATAATAAGTATTTTTTTAATTATATAATGTTAAAATATTAATTTTTTCTGAGAGTAATTCATGAATTAGCTAAACTTATGAAAAAGCTGCGTAATTTTAAGTGTCTACTAAAATATATTAATAATATAATTAATTAATTATTATGAATAATATATGCATACCACTTATAATATACCAGTTTATTTAAAATAACTTATCGCTGTGGAAAGCAATTCTCAAGTAGTTTCTTTAAGTATTTTAAAATGACAGTAAAATATAGCACACGATTTTTATCATGAACTCTCTTGCTACAAAACCAATCTATTATCATAAAGGTATTGTCATCATTCTCTTGAACCACCTACACGTTGCCATCTCTTATCGTGAAAACTCACAACAAATGATAATAATACCACAAATAAAAAATATATAGGATAAGCTATAAATTAAGTTTTAAATAAGTTAGAATAATAATTATAAATTTAAATCACACATATAGTTATCTTCTAAATTTATTAGTTATTATCGTTAATATTAATTTCACAGTATTGTCTTAAATAAAACAATATATGACTTTTGAAAATATGATGTATTAATTAACACTCTAAGAATTTATATCTTTCATTATTCAATCACTCAAATTTTCAAGAACTATGATTATACTATGTTGGAATCTTCTTCTCATCAACAAAACTAGGCATAGTGTAGAGTTGTTAAAACGGGCCACTCGGTCCGATCCAACCCGGCCTATCACGGATTGATCACTTAGTGAGCCAACCTAACTCGGCTCATTTATTAGCGCATCAGAAAAATTCGAACCCGACCCGACTCACAACGGGTTGGTGGTGGGTAACAGGTTGACTTACTGGCTTACTTAATTACAATTTATTTTTAAATAAAAAAATTACAAACTTTCTATAATTTAAATCTAAACAAATTTCACTCCCAAAGGTGTTTAATTAATTTTGAAAATAAGGAACTTAAATAATTTTTTCAAGCAAAAACAAAATAATAAATATTTTTTTATAAAATTAAAATTAAAATTAAAATTAAATTTTAATAAAATAAAATTAGGTAGGTGAGTTGGTCGGATTCAACCCGCATGAACAAGATTTAAATTTGACCCGCATAAAAGAAATATGATTTTTTCAAACTCAACCCGACTTAAACCCGTTGTGAGCCAGGTTGACCCGCGGGTTGTAACCTATTTTGACAGCTCTAACATAGTGGATTTTATATATAATGAGTTTAATTATTGTTAACAAATTCTAGACAAAAATTTTCATTGACTCTTATAACTAGTCATTTTTACCAAATTCCAAATATTAATAGAGTCATTATAGATTTTAGTTAATACAACTAATACCAATATTTATGATAACATTTTCCCTAATTGTCTTATAATCCTCTTCTTATATCAAAATATGATTTTTCACGACTACTAAACAAAATTTCACACCATAACACAAAAACAAAGAAAATAAAGCTTTTCTCATAACAAGGAATGGCGTTCAGTAGGGATTTTCTTTAAAAATTGAAATCTAGAAATTCTCATAACAGTAAATTTAACTAGAGCTTTATAAAGAATGCATAAATTTCTTTAAAAAATGAAATCTAGAAGATAAACGTTTTTTTACTCAATTCTAATAGTCTTCTCGTTATTCATTAGAGAGAATATAATACAAAATTAACAAACTTATTTCCTAAAATCCTTTAGTGAATAAATTTAAAGGATCTTACATTCTAAAAGAAAATACAGATCTATGGATAAAAACAGTTTACATAATAGTTTAATTATAAATCACATATAACCAAAACTTCTTTAATACATAAGAAAGTCTTTGAAAGTCATACTAATAATTATTATAGCTTGTAATAAGTATGGGAACCTGTGTTTATACTAAAATGTATATGCATTCAACTCTCATAAAAGCTGTGAAAATTTGTGACAATAAGATCAGGTTACACACTATTAATTGCTGTGAGGGTATAATGTAAAATAAAAAACAATGTACAGACATAACTAAAAGTGAAATGTGAAAACAAAAGAGTTCCTAAATCTTGAGAAAAAAAAGGGATAGATATGAAGAAAAATATTATCAAATTATAATCCTAAACTGATTGAAGATTAAAATAAACTAGATATTATTAAAATAAATAATGTAAGAGACAAACTTTTGATCCATTCAGCTTATAAACTTGGTAGTTAGACTATAAATTAAAAACAAATACTCATTTAGTATAAAAATAAAAATAAAAAAACCACTATAACTCGTTGTCTCTTCAGAAAATTGGAAAAAATTGTGCATCTTATCTTAGGAAGTTTTATTTAGCATCTTTGAAATTCAATTGGTTATTTTTAAAAAGTTTTAAAGAATGTTATTTTTCAAAAACACTTATATTTAGTACCTAACAGTATTTTTTTTCTTAAACTGCTATCCAGGCATGCATTTATAGTTGTAGGTAAAAAAGAACTTTGAACAAAAAAAAAATAGAAATTAAAAAATAATGTGTTGCCAGTCAAAAATATATTTTAATAAAATATAATGAGCTATTGAAAGAAAAAGAGTTTGAGTATCGAATATAATTACTACCTATCGGGAGAATCACTCATGCAGAAGCTCAACATGGCAATCACCATCGTCTACTAGATATTCTGCTTTTGCATTATGTCTAGCATTTTTTTTTAATTCTGCATGCATATAATATGCAACAAATTGCAAAAATAAAACATGAAATATAATATACAAATAAGAGAGATAAAAAGTGTGAAATAAAATAGCCAAGTGATAGAAAGAATTAGAAAAAACATGGTATATTAAATACTGTATATATCAATGTTATATCTGATGATGCTTTGCTTTCACTTTCACTGATTCTTTAAGAACACAAGTGTGAGATATTTTGTTGGTTCCTTAGTCACTTTTTTAATTGGTGTGACCTCAATTAACAATACCATATGTACTGTGTTATCAAATAAAAATTATGCCAGTTTTTCTTAGGTGTACTTAAATATCTCTAAACCTAATTCATACATTGATGATGATAGAGTTCAATTTACAAATATGTAATAGAAGGAATTAATTATTTTAATTAAGACATATAATATCTTCTCAAGATTTTAGATTTGATAGGTAAAACTTCTTTTTTCTCTCTCTCTTTGCATGATGTGATTTTCTCTCTCTCTAAGTTTTCACTTTATATATATATATATATATATATATATATATATATATATATATATATATATATATCCACTTTCTTAAATTTCGTCTCTTTATAATATGATTTTATTGTTATATTTGGATGATTATAAATTATTTTTAATCAAACATCAAATTAAAAATATGTACGTCTATACCACTTTCCATGAGTTAGTTTTATGTGAATGGTTTGCAAGTCTAAAACTTGAGATGTTTTTCATAAAAATATGAATCTTTAATGGTCTTTGACAGTAAAAATCATATTTTTTTCAAAAATTCATTATTACATATATAATATTTAAATTATAATTAAAAAAATATTGTAAATATTATCAATAAAACACAATCTTTAGATAAAAACTAAAAACATTGTGATTAACTCATAATGTAGACCATTTATCCTAAGCTATTATTAAAATTATACTTAACTTTGCAAAATATAATAACTTTAAGTCGAATTCTAACAGCTTATATTTTTAATAACAAGTATGATTATAATCATATAGGCTAATTAACAAAGATAAGGTTCATCTCTGTCTCTCAAACTTTTCATACAAATACATATTTCAAAATATGCAAACAACTTAAGAAAAATAGATAAAGAAAAACTTAGATCTTGACGATTTTTATCAACTAAAATTTGAATTTGAATTTTTATTTATTTATAATTTTTTTTTGCTTAACTAATAAATTATTCTTATTTATGTCATTTAAATCACTTGTACTTTTAAATTTTTACACCGATTTACTTGGTCTTTATACATGCATATATATGTGTGTATATATATAATATTTATCAAAATATGATGAAAAATTGCATTATAATTCTTAATTAAAAAAATCATAAAATTTACTTTATAAATATGATAAAAATTATATAAAAAAATTATAACATGTCTCTTTGTAAAAAAAATTTATTGTAAAATGTGTATTGAATTTTTAAAAATATTTAACAAATTCATGATAAAAAAAAGTTGTTAAAAATCATCTAAAAGTTATTGTTTTTTTTTTTTTTGTGGCAGAGAGGCTTAATACGGTTGTGGAAAGGAGTTTGGTTGTATATTAAATTAGATCCTAATCGAATTAAAATGTATTAGATTCCTATATTTTGTTGGTGTGATTTTTTAATAAATAATAAGATCCTGATATGAAGTACATGCAATGTATCATTTAGAAGTAATTGATCTCTGGGAACTTTACTGAACCATCCAACAAAGAAGCTGAAAATTTTGAATTTTGAATACATTTCAAATGATCATTATGTAAATATATACATCATGAACACTGAAAAAGGAAAGACATGATTTTAATCGTTTTGGTAGAACTAACGAATGGAGAAGAAAAGTTTTCCATGCCACTCATGTCAATTTCTGTTTTCTAAAATTGTGTCATCACAATCCATTTTTAGAAAACTATAACAAACGTTTCGTTGTTTTAAGTGATTCACCCAAAAACTCAAAATATATTTTTAAATTTTTATATGCATACAACTTCTGTATGAAAACATTAGGCCCATATACCCATAATTCACAGGCTTTTACAACGTCGAAGTGGCGTCACCAGTAGCAATGACAACAACTCAGTAGTAACAGGAGAATATAACAAATTTAAAAGGTAAGAAAACATTTAATATAAATGGTGATTGCATGAAATTAACTTAATTTAAAGTGTATGACATTAAAATCAAATGATGTATTCACATCATTTGTGAAAGTATTTTTAAACCAATCAATATTGTTTCGTTAAATGTAATTAAATTAGTTATAGTTTAAATTAATTTATACTAGTTAAATTTTAAATAGTTTATATTAAATGTTTTTTTATAGTAATACATCTCCATTCAACAAATGGGAAAATTCTATATTTTTTTTCCTTTCTTCTCTATTATTAAGTTTCTGATATCACTCTGACCTCAACAATTTTCGTAATTGGTTTTGACAAACACGGCGTAAGCGTACCTTACACTCCGAGTTAAGGGTATTTGAGGAATTGAGGTGGTAAATGCAGTGAAACTCAAAAGAAGTTTCCTGCAATGGAAGAAAGAAGACCTATTAGTCGAAGTCAAGGTCAACGAAGAGAATGCAATGAGAGAACAACAATACTGAAAACAACTAAACTCTCAAATTCAAATCAATGATCATAAATTGCATCAGTTGATAGTTTCAGATTTCAATAATAAAACCTAGATTCCCGTTATTACAATAATATTCATCAGTTTTGTTTTTCTTTCTGTTCGTAGCGATTATTACCGCAGCCCGACAAATTCCAGCCCAATCAGGGCCCAATGATGACTCCCAAATTTCAAAACGTAGTCTCCACGGCGGCGTCCGTGGCGGCCACCGTGATGCTCCTCCGCTCTTTCACCCGCAATTACATTCCCCCGGAGTTCCAAAACTACCTCCACTCAAAACTATCAAAACTCCTCTCCTCCTTCTCCACGGAACTCACCCTCGTTATCGACGAATTCGACGGGCTCACTACGAACCCGCTCTTCGCCGCGGCGCAGCTCTACCTCAAGCCGCAGGAGGCGCCGAACACGAAGCGCTTCCGCGCCACGATGCCTTCGAAATCGCGCCACGTGTCCCTTCTCATGGACGGCAACGACGAGATCACGGACTCCTTCAACGGCGTGCCGTTCCGGTGGAGGCTCGTGTCCCGACGCGGCAAATCGAATTTCGCGGTGCACTTCTTCGAGGTGCGGTTCCACAAGAAGCACCGGGAGATGGTTCTGTCGAAGTATTTTCCGCGCGTGATGAAGGAGGCGGAGGCGGCGCGTGAGCGGAGGAAGACGCCGAGGCTCTTCACGGTGAAGGACAAGCGGTTTCGGAGGGGAGGGAGGGGAGGGAGGGGGGAGATGTGGCAGGGCGTGAATATTGAGCACCCTGCGACGTTTGCGACTGTGGCGATGGATTGGGAATTGAAGGAGATGATAATTAGGGATTTGGATAGGTTTGTGGAGAGGAAGGGTTTATATAAGAGTGTTGGGAAGGCGTGGAAGAGAGGGTACTTGCTTTCGGGTCCCCCTGGAACTGGGAAATCGAGTTTGATTGCTGCTATGGCTAATTATCTGAATTTCGATGTCTATGACTTGGAACTCACTGCTGTTAATGGAAATTCTGACCTTAGGAGTTTGTTGATTGCCACCAGCAACCGTTCCATTCTTGTTGTGGAAGACATTGATTGCTCCCCTCAATTGCAGGATAGGCTTGCAGAACCTAAATCATCACAACCCCATCGCTTCATCCCACGCCATTTTCACTCATTTCCAGCACCCCAGGTATAATACAATACAATCACATCCTTTTCTTAGTTTCAGATACCGATGAGTCAGTTTTATACCCTTTCTTTCAAGCGTTGAATCTCGCTTACTGTTTTGAATTGCAGGTGACATTATCGGGGTTCCTGAATTTCATAGATGGGTTGTGGTCGAGTTGTGGGAATGAGAGGATCGTAGTGTTCACCACGAATCATAAGGAGAAATTGGACCCTGCTCTCTTGCGCCCTGGGCGTATGGATGTGCACATTGACATGACTTACTGCACCCCAGATGGGTTCAAAATGCTGGCTTCCAATTACCTTGGGATCACGGAGCACCCACTTTTTGTTCAAATTGAGAACTTGCTTGGGATGATCGATGTCGCTCCGGCGGAGGTAGGGGAGCAGTTTTTGCGGGACGAAGATCCGGATATTGCACTCAACAGCCTGATAGAGCTCCTTCTTGAGAAGAAACCAAATCATGAATTGCAGATAAAAGTACCTCTCACCGTTGAATGATTTGAGTCAAGTGAAATGAAGATCATAACATACACTTGGTGCAATTAGACTTATAACTATAATTTGTATAAAGAAACAACAAAAAATTAAGGAGAAACTATAGATAAACATAGTGTTCTAAGGATTAAACCCATCCAGTTGATTTAAAGAATTTCTTTAGTGTGACACTGAAGAGAGATAATTTTGTTTTCCGTTGAAAAGAAAAAAAAATACTTTACTAACGAAGTAAATTTCACTTCAAAATATTTCTTTATTTTAAGATATTTAATGCTTATATTTTTCTTAAAGCACGATAATACATAATTATAAAAATTCTTCTTCCACTTTCAACTCTGATCTGACCATCCTGCGCAACCGCCATAAGCGGTGGTGCTGCCATGCACGTCACCACCTAGTTTCCCAAGGTTCATATTTTTGTTTGTATATTTTGGTGACTCGTAAAAAAGCCGATTATAACCTAAAGGAATTGTTGAAATATCTTGTCCATTATCATGTAATAGAACATATGAACTAATGAACTACTCTAATTCGTCAAGGTCGACTCTAGATTCTCATAATTTATATATTTAAAAAATATCTAATTTAAATACAATTTTATAAAAACAAACTTATATAGTAATGATTCAATGTAAATTTTTTAATATATAAATATAAATTTGTATTAATAAATACTAACGTTAGTTAAAAATATTCACTGTAATTTCTTGCAAAAGCTTTATTTACTAATTGCATAATCTTACAGTCCATGATTAACAAAACAGATCAACCAACTGTTTGATTTTACACAAGTCAAACTTTTACTCGTCTACAACCTATGGTGCACACATTTCAATCACACTAAAAATTAAGTTAACTCAACTTTAAAACAAAAGAATAAGAAATACTTACTGAGATATGTTTGATGTTTCTTTAAATTTTAATCTTAATTTATTTAGGTCACATCACTTCTAACATTTTATGGTAAATCTTACTCCAACATAAAAATCTTAGCAGATCTCACTTTAATAACTTTTTTAACTTATTAAATGAAAGATTGCTCTTAAGATAAAAAAAAAACTTAAGATTTTACATTTTATGCAATGTCAAGATACTTTAATAAAGATCTTGAACATCACAAATATAAATAAAATCTTTGCTCATATTTATTCTCTAATCTTGTGCAAATTTAGCATTTGATTCACAGAAGATCCAAAAGGGGTGGACTGTGGAGACTCCAATATTTACATAAAGAAAAGAGCAGCAACACCCACCCAAACATCCATGGATAATTCAGAAAAGCTGGTAAGATATAAATAATTAACATCTTTTAAGCACCTTTGAGTTTTGATACATATATGTATTTTTTGAATCCATCCTTTACTCATTTCTGCGCTGATAGCTCCAAATCACAGCGGAAAAATGGAAAGGACAATATACAGAAGCAACAGAAATAAGAACCAACGAAGAGTGTCGAAAGATTAAACAAAGCCAGACAAAAGATGTAGCAATGCAACATCCCAGTTATTCTGGCACTTCTTTCCTCTCTGTTTCTTTTTTACTGTGGCCGGAGGAGATAAAGAATCATAATAAAATGGCCAACACAATACATATTAAAAATCCCTCAAAAGTCAAAAGTATACCAGGACAATGGAAAAGAAATGAAAAAAACCCTTAACCTAAATCACCCTAGAGCCACGAGACACGTGGACCTAAAGGATTCCCAGTAGTAACAAGCAAAGCTTAAAGTGTATCCAGCGATATTCTTTTATTTGTCCATAAATTTAATATATAGGTTTTATGGTTATACCTGAAACAAGGAAAATACCATGTTTTAGTTTGATGACCAAAATATGGAACACATATCAAGTGACTATGCTTTAAAAAAATGTACAGCACACTACCTATGCATTCTCTGTAAATTTGAGAAAAAAAAAATTAATAACGTATTTTCAGTGTGCGCCTTTAAATTCAGAAAATTACTAGTGAAATTGGTTTTCAAAATTTTTATGTCGTGTAATAAACAATTTTGAAAAGCCACTTTTACATCAATTTTGGAAGAGCGGAATTTTTACTGAATATGAATCCTAATCAGCAGTTTTTTCTGTTTGCCACAGGTGCAAATGTCAACCAGATAATTTAAAAATTCCTTACATAAATAAAATCAAGCAAATATAATATATATATATATATATATATATATATATATATATATATATTATTTGCCCCATTTCAGAAAGCATAGAAGCAGGGTTTTGAGAATCTTACAAGATCCTTAAACAGCCATCTTCATTTCTACCTTCTTGTGAGGGTCATATCCTATGAGCTTGAAATCGGTAGCAACAAAGGAATCTATATCTTTCTTATTTGGGTTTATCTTCAAAATCTGAATTGAGGTATAGGCAATCAACAAGGAAAAGGCAGTTTATACGAGTGCATAATTGTTATTATTTTGTGGGCATCTACGTTAAGCAAATGTTTTTTTTAACATTTACACCTACCGGAAAAGGTTTTGGTTGATTCTGAAGCTGTTCCTGAAGAGGTCTCACATGATTGCGGTAAACATGTGCATCCCCGATAACATGACTAAAATCACCCGGAACAAGGTCTGACAAGAACAGGATATGATATGGTTAGATCAGTCCAATATCTGATGTCAATTTTATTTTAATATAAATGCTGTATTTCTCTACGTAAGATTACAACCCAAATACATCAGAGCCACCCCCAAACTTTAAACGGTGAAACAGAACACACCCAAACCTATATCTTTCTTTTTAAGAGCATTCTAATTTTTCAGAGAATCTGATTATTGGCATCCAAAAGGACTATTTTGCCATTCCATACAAAAAGTATGCTAATCATAATAATATAAAATCTTTGTGAATCATAACCCATTAATCAGCTTAAAGTCATTTAAAATCAAATAATGACAAATCTGTATCATGAAAAGGAATTAAGATGCCATGTACGTCTGAGAACAAATTTAAGTATATGACACTGACATAATTTGCTTACCACAAACATGAGCAATCATGCATGTCAAGAGAGCATAAGATGCAATATTAAATGGCACCCCCAGGCCCATGTCCGCAGATCGCTGATACATTTGACACGATAATTCCCCATTTGCTACGTAAAACTGCAGAAATTTTTTTGTTGACAAAACTTCATGAAAGGAGAACGAGAGAAAGAGATAGTTATTCCAAGATAGACCCAAATATAGCTGCAGACCTGCGCAAACATGTGACAGGGGGGAAGTGCCATCAATTTAAGATCAGATGGATTCCAAGCTGAAAGAATGATGCGTCGATCATCAGGGTTATGCTTTATCTTGTCAATAACATCCAGAAGCTGGTCAAATCCTTGGCCAGAGTAGTCAGCATGCATGTCAGTATACCTGTAAAATGTAAGATGGAAAATTAATAAGGAACTAAGCAAGACCACCAAAATGATGCCTAATGACATAAAATAAAGGTACATCCACCTACTTGGCTCCAAAGTGCCTCCACTGAAACCCATAAACAGGTCCTAAGTCACCCTCCTCCCTTTCTCTCAAACCAATGCTGTATATAAATTGTAAATCCAGTTAACAAACGCACGGAGAAGAAAAAATTGTAGTTCCAACAAAAATTAGTAGGTCATGCTTGCCTATCAAGGTATTCTCTAGATGCATTGCCATCCCAGACATGAATGCCTTTTTCTTGCAGCACCTGTCAATATAAAATGATTTCAGAATAAAATTCACTCTGGATGTATCCAATGAACCGGACATTCTTGTAAACCACTAATATGCCTTCACGCAACTCAGTGATTTAATTGAATTTTGGTTCAGCAGCTTTTTATACTCTAACTATGTTTGGAAAAATAACTAAAAATTGTTAACAGAAGCTATTAAGCTATATTATTGAGGCATGTGTTTTGGTAAAATTATTCAATATTAATAATGCAACATCCAGGTGCTAATCATGTCATCATGAAACCGTTCTATGATAATATTTTAACCATTGCAAATAGATTAAAAAAAACTTGAGTATATGATCAATTTACAAAATATAAATAGAGACAATCCTCATCTTATAAATCGATTTTTAAAAATTAATTACCCCTTAAACTCACTTCCTAATTCACAATAATGCCAATTTTATGGACATACGGATTTATTATCAAAATTAGAGTCAACTAATGTAAAGCCCCCAATTTCATGAACATAGGCATTTATTATCAAAATTAGAGCCAACTAATGTAAAGCCAGCCTACAAATTCTCGAAAGCCTGGCTTTATCACGACGTTTAGTCACTAATAAATCGTTGAACATAAAAGGTATTGATATTTTAGTCATCAGTGCACAGATTAATAAGGATTCAAACATGTTATATCATTTTGATTCACAACACAACAATGTATAAGTCGATTAAAAATTTGAAAAAAAAAACAGGGAATAATGAGTTGGGTAGGAGACTCCAAAGCTTTCCATGTGTCTATCCCCATTCTTTACCAAGCTAAAATAGTATCAAGCAAACCAACTTAGTTGCCCAATATTTGGTTCGTGCTAGCTACTTCGTGAACAGTAACATAACTAGAAAAGGGCATGTATGCACGTCTGCGCGGAAAAGATTGGTACAGATATCATTACCTTGGCACTTGTTGAGCCGCTGATAAACCAAAGAAGCTCCTCAACAACCCCTCGCCAAAATACTTTCTAGGAACCAAATTAAGAAATCATGTCAACTTTTATATCATGAAATACGATATATATTCTTCTTCAGTCTTCATAAACATTAAAAGTGACAAAACAAACAACAATTACATCAAAATAACATAAGGAAACGAAACAAAAAAATAAGAAATTAATACGCAGTAGTTTATACAAATTCATACATACCTTGGTTGTTAGAAGGGGAAAGTTCCTGCGCAGATTAAACCTCATCTGTGGAATTATAGAGAAGGTGTAAGCATACATATAAATCATTGCAACTGCTGAACAGAGCAATCGAGATGTTACCTGGCAGCCAAATTTCGACAAGGTACCAGTCCCTGTCCTATCATCCTTAATTGTGCCTTCAGAAATAATTTCTCGAACCAAACTTAGATACTTAAATTCCTCATGTCTCTCATAAATGAACTTCGGAAGAAAAGAAAATTCATTGACCTCGAATTTTAAAGAGTCTGAACCATTATCAAAAACTGGATCAGCATTCTGACGTAGGGACTCAGCCGGAGAACT